TTGGATATTCATGGGTTGTTGATTCTGTTGTAGTAAATGGAACTTTAGATTCTTTATACCCGGGTGGTATTGTAGTACCAGAAGAAGGACCGGGTGATGTTGTGTCAATTATGGTAGTTGTTGTTATCCGTTCAGTTGGAGATGTTTTTGGATATTCTTGGGTCGTTGATTCAGTTGTAGTATATGGAACTTTAGATTCTCCAGAGTCAGGTGGTATTGTAGTACCAGAAGAAGGACCAGGTGAGGTTGTGTCAGTTAAAGTGGTTGTTGTTATCCGTTCAGTTGGAGTTGTTTTCGGATATTCATGGGTCGTTGATTCAGTTGTAGTATATGGAACTTTAGATTCTCCAGAGTCAGGTGGTATTGTTGTACCAGAAGAAGTACTGGGTGAGGTTGTATCAGTTAAGGTGGTTGTTGTCATGCGTTCTGTTTTTGGATATTCATGGGTTGTTGATTGTGTTGTAGTAAATGGAACTTTAGATTCTTTATACCCAGGTGGTATTGTAGTACCAGAAGAAGGACCGGGTGATGTTGTGTCAATTATGGTAGTTGTTGTTATCCGTTCAGTTGGAGATGTTTTTGGATATTCTTGGGTCGTTGATTCAGTTGTAGTATATGGAACTTTAGATTCTCCAGAGTCAGGTGGTATTGTAGTACCAGAAGAAGGACCAGGTGAGGTTGTGTCAGTTAAGGTTGTTGTTGTTATCCGTTCAGTTGGAGTTGTTTTCGGATATTCATGGGTCGTTGATTCAGTTGTAGTATATGGAACTTTAGATTCTCCAGAGTCAGGTGGTATTGTTGTACCAGAAGAAGTACTGGGTGAGGTTGTATCAGTTAAGGTGGTTGTTGTCATGCGTTCTGTTGGTACAGTTGTTGGATATTCATGGGTTGTTGATTCTGTTGTAGTAAATGGAACTTTAGATTCTTTATACCCAGGTGGTATTGTAGTACCAGAAGAAGGACCGGGTGATGTGTCAATTGTGGTAGTTGTTGTTATCCGTTCAGTTGGAAATGTTTTTGGATATTCTTGGGTCGTTGATTCAGTTGTAGTATATGGAACTTTAGGTTCTCCTGAGTCAGGTGGTATTGTAGTACCAGAAGAAGGACTGGGTGAGGTTGTGGCAGTTAAGGTGGTTGTTGTCATGTGTTCAGTTGGAGTTGTTTTTGGATATTCATGGGTCGTTGATTCAGTTGTAGTATATGGAACTTTAGATTCTCCAGAGTCAGGTGGTATTGTAGTACCAGAAGAAGGACCGGGTGAGGTTGTGGCAGTTAAGATGGTTGTTGTTATCCGTTCAGTTGGAGTTGTTTTCGGATATTCATGGGTTGTTGATTCAGTTGTGGTATATGGAACTTTGGATTCTCCAGAGTCAGGTGGTATTGTAGTATCAGAAGAAGGACCAGGTGAGGTTGTGTCAGTTAAGGTGGTTGTTGTCATGCGTTCAGATGGAGTTGTTTTTGGATATTCCTGGGTCGTTGATTCAGTGGTAGTATATGGAATTCTAGGTTTTCCAGAGTCAGGTGGTATTGTAGTACCAGAAGAAGGACCGGGTGAGGTTGTGGCAGTTAAGGTGGTTGTTGTTATCCGTTCAGTTGGAGTTGTTATCGGATATTCATGGGTCGTTGATTCAGTTGTAGTATATGGGACTTTAGATTCTCCAGAGTCAGGTGGTATTGTTGTACCAGAAGAAGGACCGGGTGAGGTTGTGTCAGTTAAGGTGGTTGTTGTCATGCGTTCTGTTGGTACAGTTTTTGGATATTCATGGGTTGTTGATTGTGTTGTAGTAAATGGAACTTTAGATTCTTTATACCCAGGTGGTATTGTAGTACCAGAAGAAGGACCGGGTGATGTTGTGTCAATTATGGTAGTTGTTGTTACCCGTTCAGTTGGAGATGTTTTTGGATATTCATGGGTCGTTGATTCAGTTGTAGTATATGGAACTTTAGATTCTCCAGAGTCAGGTGGTATTGTAGTACCAGAAGAAGGACCAGGTGAGGTTGTGTCAGTTAAAGTGGTTGTTGTTATCCGTTCAGTTGGAGTTGTTTTCGTATATTCATGGGTCGTTGATTCAGTTGTAGTATATGGAACTTTAGATTCTCCAGAGTCAGGTGGTATTGTAGTACCAGAAGAAGGACCGGGTGAGGTTGTGGCAGTTAAGGTGGTTGTTGTCATGTGTTCAGTTGGAGTTGTTTTTGGATATTCCTGGGTCGTTGATTCAGTTGTAGTATATGGAACTTTAGATTCTCCAGAGTCAGGTGGTATTGTAGTATCAGAAGAAGGACCGGGTGAGGTTGTGGCAGTTAAGGTGGTTGTTGTTATCCGTTCAGTTGGAGTTGCTTTTGGATATTCATGGATTGTTGATTCAGTTGTGGTATATGGAACTTTAGATTCTCCAGAGTCAGGTGGTATTGTAGTATCAGAAGAAGGACCGGGTGATGTTGTGTCAGTTAAGTTGGTTGTTGTCATGCGTTCAGTTGGAGTTGTTTTCGGATATTCGTGGGTCGTTGATTCATTTGTTGTATATGGAACTTTAGATTCTCCAGAGTCAGGTGGTATTGTAGTTCCAGAAGAAGGACCGGGGGATGTTGTGTCAGTTAAGGTGGTTGTTGTTATCCGTTCAGTTGGAGTTGTTTTCGGATATTCGTGGGTCGTTGATTCAGTTGTGGTATATGGAACTTTAGATTCTCCAGAGTCAGGTGGTATTGTAGTACCAGAAGAAGGACCGGGTGAGGTTGTGTCAGTTAAGGTGGTTGTTGTTATCCGTTCAGTTGGAGTTGTTTTCGGATATTCGTGGGTCGTTGATTCAGTTGTGGTATATGGAACTTTAGATTCTCCAGAGTCAGGTGGTATTGTAGTATCAGAAGAAGGACCGGGTGAGGTTGTGTCAGTTAAGGTGGTTATTGTTATCCGTTCAGTTGGAGTTATTTTCGGATATTCATGGGTCGTTGATTCACTGGTAGTATATGGAATTTTAGATTTTCCAGAGTCAGGTGGTATTGTTGTACCGGAAGAAGGACCGGGTGAGGTTGTGTCAGTTAAGGTAGTTGTTGTCATGCGTTCTGTTGGTACAGTTTTTGGATATTCATGGGTTGTTGCTTCTGTTGAAGTAAATGCAACTTTAGATTCTCCTGAGTCAGGTGGTATTGTCGTACCAGTAGAAGGACCGGGTGATGTGTCAGTTTTGGTAGTTGTAGGTATCCGTTCAGTTGGACTTGTTGTTGGTTCAGTTGTTGTAAACGAAATTGTGGAGTTTTCAGTCGGTTGTGGAAGTTTATTGGTTATTGTCTCTGTCACTATACTTGGAATTGAAGAATCTTTATAAACAGTTGGTGTCGTTGAGGATGGCGGAGTTGTAGGAAGATTCTGTGTTGTTAAATATTTTTTCGTCGAGGACGTTGATATCGTAATATTTGGAAGAAATGTCGGTTTAGTTTGGTAGGTTGGAATGGTTTGCGAACTAATGGTTGTCGTTTCTGGAAGAGTGGAATATTCTGTGATTGTTGAGGGAGTTGTTGTTTCCTTTGACATTGTCACTAAAGTACTTTGTTGCATAATATCTTTTAAATTCGTAGTACTATCAATACTCAGCTGCTTAGTTGTTTTAAAGGACTCTGTTGTGCTATCGTACGAGCTGGTAGTCTCACTTTCAGCTGTTATATCAGTATACCGAGTACGCATCTCTGTTTGGTTTGCCAACGCCATTACTGTGTACCTAATGGTTGTTGCGTCTGTTGTCATTGTCTCGTTCAGTTCTGGTTCAGTAATGTGTGTAGTGCAGTTCGGGGTCACAGTCATTGTCGAATTTATTGAGCAAATGCAAGTCGTAATTTTATGTGCTTTTGTTATGCATTTTACTGCGCCCACGCAACTCGTGCGGCAAGGATCGATACATTGACCAGACGATCCGCATTGATGTGCATCACTGCAATCTTCGTTTGTGGAACAGTTGCCACCTGGCTTAGCTGCTTGATTTTTGTTTTTAATTTTGTAAGTGGAGTATTTTGTACATATTTCAAATAAAATTATAAGATTTAAAAAATACAATACGTTAAAATATTTACATATTAATTTGATATAAATAAATAAGTGTATGGCTACAGCAAAGAAGGAATGTGCACTATATATACAGGGGTACCTGGGGGTGTTACGACATACGTTCCAGGGCTTCAGCTAAATTTATTGTATACAATCGAAACTGTGACAAAAACTTTCAGTACATAAATTTAGTACAAATTACTTTACGGTTAGATATTTTCAAATTAGGAACGATTGTTTTTACTATTAGTTAGCTACATATTGGATTTATGTTTTTTATTTTGTTTGTAGTTTGTTTATACCATTAGTATTACATCTATTTACCGTTTATTTAGAATCAAGGGTTAAAATATTGATAGTTTTCAAGAGGCATTTTGATTAATTGATTTTATTAATATCATTGTGAGCATGAGCGTGTGTGAATGTTCAGAAGAGTTTCTTTGTAATTGTATCTGTTATTTTTGTGTCATCCCCAATTCGGGGGCTTTGATCCCGTAGGATCATCATCAATAATTTGGATAACAGTTTTTCTTATTTTGTTATTGCGCTTTGGTTTGAAGCTATACGGGCATTAAGAGTATTCCTGATTCGATAATTGGGTTCGTTGTATTTAGCTTTCGAAATTGATATTCAGATATTGAATTGATACCTTATATGGTCAGGCAAAAGCTTAAAACAAGAATAGATTGTTAATTCCTCACTTCTATATACATTTACACATTACTTTGGGAAATGAATTGACGAGGCACGAAAATTTCATGTATTAGCTTTGGTCAATATATTTCGCATGGTAATATTTTGTGTGTGTGTGTTTGGTTGGTGAGGGGACAGACAATAAGGCAGATCTAGCAAAAAGGTGAGAGCGTGTGAGAGAGGCAGAAAACAGAGATAACGATAAACGAGACAGAGACATAAGGTACTTTCACGTGACAGAGTTGTGAGAGAGAGTACGTTTGTGCTTTACCTTTTTGACATCCATATTTGGCATCGGCTATAAATCCAGTTGGGCAGAATTTACATATCGGCTTATGATCCTCGACAATGCATGGCGAGTTGGATGCGCACGTGGCAAACTTGCACGGATCGACGCACTGATAGTTACGACACGCCAAGCCCGCTGGACAGCCAGCGTCACGCAAACATATCGATATCGATGGCTGGCAGTCTCGCATGCAAATGCATACGGGCTTATGATCCTGCACCTCACACGACTTATTCTCGGCACAAATTGGGGCGCGGCCCAAAGGCACGATGCACGGGTTGCGACACTTGCCATCCGTGCAGGCCATGTTCGAGGCACAGTCATCATCGCGATAGCATTCCCGTTTATCCGGTGCACAGGTCAACTCTCCATACTCATTGACTATAAAGCCCGACTTGCATATGCAAACGGGCTGATGACGGCGAGTTTCGCACTTTTTGTTGCTCTCACAAATGAATAGGGGATTGTTGCATGGATCTGTGCATTGGCCATATTGGCCGCACTGCAATGTTTCTGGGCATTCGGCATCGTTTGTGCAGGGTATTTGGTCCTTTGTCTTGGGGTCTGTGTCTTCTGACACACATTTCGGATCCGGTTTGCATTCGACCTCGGGTCGACCTATATGACAGCTAGGACACGAGCAGCGCGGGCGATGCAGCACAGTCTGACACAGCGCATTTGTGCCACACGCGCCACGCATTGTACAAGGATCGGTGCAGTGTCCTTGCAGGCATGATTTTTCACTGGGACAATCCGTATCTGAGTAGCATTGTTCGGTGTCTAAAACGTAACGTTACAGCAGCAGCGAAGAACGAGAGAGAGAGAGAGAGATAGACAGGTTGTTGGTTTTTTATACTATGTTAATCGTTGGGTGCACTCAACTATTCAGTGGCATATACGATAGATAGGTACCCTATAAAAAGTATTCTTTTCTTGTTGTTTGTTCTTCTTGCTTTTCTCTATTTACGAAGTTTTTTTTGGAATGGGAGTGCATAATCGAAATAAATCAAAGATTTAGGTATCTTTTCGGATTTTGAAAATGAGGCAAGAAAGTTTGGGTTGAAACATGAGGGGGAGCGGTACTTGGTGTACGTAGACAAGATGGGATGTAAATGTAGGGACTCAGATAAGAAACTTAAAGCTAAAAATTTCTAAAAACAAAAGTAGAAAAACTTAAATGTGACAATATATAAACAGTATAATCCAGTGTTGGTTGTTTCGATTGGTATTCTTTGGTTTCGGTTTTGGTTTTGGTTTGATTTAATTTGGTTTTGTTTTGAGTACTTGTGTATGTGGTGGGGGTATTTGGGGTGTGTTCAGAAAATATGTCAGTGGGATTGCTGTGGTTTTCAGTTTGGATTTGGGTGTTGTGCACGGGAGTTGTTACAGTTACAGTAATAGATCATATATTTTGGGGGACTTGACGAATTGTGATCAGAAAATGGGTTAGGAAATTGTAAGAGAAAAGAAACAAACAAAATCAGATCGGTGCAGTTAGTGATCTTTAGATAGGTTTTTAGTAGACACAATTGTTTTTTTCTTTTGTGAATTTGTTGTCAACATCAACATCAAATTGCAGAACTGTGAAGGGAACGTCTCACATTATATCAGGTCGCTTTTTAATTATATTTTTTTTTTTTCGATAAGCTTGCAAATTGTCAAATATGTATATATAATATTATAGAGTAGGTAGCTGCTTATGATTGGTATGGTGATTAATTGCTTTTGTTGGTTGATTGATATGAATTTGATAAGTCTTCGAGCAGCGGGCAAACGAGTGAGCGAGCGAGCGAGCAGCCTTATGGATAATAATAAGTTCGAGTGAGCAATAGTTACAATCCTTAATGATTTACCAATTATTATAAGACGAGTGTGTGTATACGGGTGTAGAGATAGAGAGACTTGCGCTTAAATTGCCCAACTAATTGTTTTCTATGGACATGTTTATTTTTTGGTTTTTTTAGCAATGATCTCCTTGGACTAATGCAGTTTTTTTTATATTTTTGTTGAGTAATGGTGAAAATTACACGACATCCAACACATGCGCTCTGCCCTCACGAGAGACACGTTATTGGTCATTGATTGGGTGAGTGAATAAGGCATGAGAAAGGTAAGAAAGATATATATAGAAAAAGGCGAAATTAGCAAGATAGTTAAAGATACTGAACGCAGGCATAGGAATGATATATATCAAACGGAAAGATATAGAAGGTACAACTTTTGACTAAGCAATATTAGCGGAAAGTAGTAGAAAATCGGTAAGTACAATTTGGAAAAGTACGTTAGGGTAGTACGTTAAGTAGCTTTACTGTTTGTTTTTTTTTTTTTTTTGGTTTTTTATGGTTTGTTATTCATAATTCACAATTGATAATTTTGGTATTTAAATATTTACAGGTTGGTTTCATACTTTTCGTTTGGGTTAGTTGGGCGGCCGCAAAGACACGGCACATTTGTATACGCATATATGTACATTTGTGATTAATCACATATACAAATTTGTGTATATACAACTTAAAGACTAGTCAAATTTACCAAAATATATTTATAGTGTTAGTTAAATTTAGTTACAGTAGTTTTGTCTGCTAGTTTAATTTCGGATTCTTGTTGTTTTTTGGTTTTTTTTATTTTTTATTTTGTTTTAAGATTTTCATCTGTACGGAAGCGATTTTCAACCAATAGACGAGCTAAAGTGTGCTAGGTAGGCGGTAGAAGCTATCAGAGCGTAGGATCTTAAAATTTACAAGTAATTAGGAGCTTTGTACAAAAAAAAATAAACAGCCTTTTCTATTCGGTTAATTTCAAGTGTTTTAAAACTTGCTTTAAGGAATGCGTTGAAAAGTAGTAGTGTTTGTTGTTGTTGTTGTTGTAATTTATCTATACATAAGATTTAATGAGACTTATATTTGAGTACTATAGTACACTTGAACTGACAATACAAAAAATAAAAAAAAAATATATTTTTTAAGCATATGTGAACCATGTGTGAGAATTGTCCCGTCCACAGTTCCCAATCTGAGACTTTGTTCATTCAAGAAATGTAACAAAAGATTTGTATGAAATTCGTTTTATTTATTTTTGTTTAGCGAAGGGAAACGACAGACGCAGGGGAGCAGAATAGTGAATAACAACGTTGGGTTATTTTCTGGGGTCGGTCGGATAGAGCATAGGAGTCACAGGATGGGATCAGGGGGAGCATGGATATCGATGATATTACTTTTCTTTTTTTTTTTTCTCTTGTTTTCGTGGGTAGCAAGGATGTGTTTTGAGGATTTGTTGTCTTTTAAATAAATTTCTTTCTATTATAATAAGCGTTGCATTTAGTGTTGTTGTTTGTTGTACACTTTTCACACTTTCAGTGCCCGATTTCAGCTGTGATTAATAGCTACGTATCGCTATCGCGGCATTATATATTTAAAACTATACGATATTTATTATAGATGAACCAACTTGTCTACTGATCTGTGCGTTAATCGGTTTCATAAACATAAGATAATGGATGCCGCCGAGCTGAGTTGTGTTGCCACACGCAACATTCCAAAAAAAAGTATGGGTTATTGAAAGCCAATTATACGAGAGAGTATGTATCTAATTGATTGGTATGAATGCTGAATGAATGCTAAATGATAAACGCAAGCTGTGAAGCTTTATGAAGTTGGGCTGGCAACTCTCAAAACGATAACGAAAGCCGTCCAAAATGCACTGAAATGTCGTTTTTAGTAGTATATTCCGTTTGGTTAAACAAAATGTACTTATATAATATTAAATTTAAGTTTTTGCTGCAGTTATATTGCGAGGAATGGGTTTGCATTAATGAATACTAGGCACAGATTGGGTAACCGCGATAGCGACAGCAACATTCCACGATCTCTCATATGCGATTTGATTTTATAGCAGTTGTGGGTAGAATGTCAATAATAATATATAAATGAGTATCATACGGAAACATTTCTTATAAACTATCACTCTATGGAACTATAAAACTAGTGCATTGCAACTAAAAGTAGTTGTTGGTTTGAGGAACTTTTTCGGATATTGTGTTCGTGTGTGTGGGAGTGTCTTCCTTTCTTTCTGTGTGTATGTGTGTGTGTGTGTGTTGTGCAAGGGAGTTTGATTGAAAACATCACGTATACATTTGGTAACTTGGAACATGTGTATAGGTTGTTAAAAAATGGTAATTAATAAGTTTTTTAATTTAATTGATATATTCATTAAGACACACACTACACTGAAACTTGGAATTAAGTTGGTTGTGGCAGCTGCGAGAGCTGTCAAATTAGTGAAATTAGCTGGTTTTAAGTTTTTATAAACAACTCATAGCTAGATAATCAAACCAAATACATATTATAACAACAATATCGGTTTCATTTTGTTTTTGTTACTGTCTGAACTCCGGTTATATGTAGTAAATGTCAATAAGAACGGCAACAATAAACGATAATAACGCTAAACTGATTACGCTAACTGATTACTCCAATAAAATAGATATGTATTTATGCATGTATTTAAGCCAACGATAACTTTATCAGCAACGCTGGTTAACATTATTAGCATTAGCTGTACTCTAGTTACTAATGACATAGACTTGGCCCACTTACCCTGCTGGCAGACGTAGTCATAGCCCGAGCGCACACAACTGCCAATGTCACAGCCACGCGTGCGGCAGTCCTCTTTCGGCGGCGTCAAATAGCCTGCAATCAGAGAGAAGAGCAAGTGTAATCATAATCGTTGTTGCTTTTGCTATTGTCACTTACATTGCACATAGGCATCGCCGTTGGGGAAGTCCTCGGGGCAGTAGCATTCGGCTTGATCATTGCTAAGCACACGGCAAGCGGCATTCAGGCCGCATGGCTGCTCGTGACAGGCATTTACCAGGTTTCCTTCGCATAGGCAACCCTTGTGAGCGTCGCCCATGCAGCCATCCATGCAGGCGCATTCGTAGCCTCCGGGCAGCTCAATGCACTTAGAGTTGACGCCGCAAGGATTGTTCGAGCAGCCGCCATCCAATGGCTGACAAGCGGTGGCCGGATTACCGAAGAAGTCCGGCGGGCATGAGCATTGGGCCTTGCGATTGATGACACGACATTGAGCATTGGTGCCACAGGCGCCATACTCGAGGCATGGATTCCGGCACTTGCCTTGATCGCAACGTTTGCTCGACTCACAGTCGCTGTCCTGTCGACACTCGAACTGTACGCACTCTTTGCTGGGCTCTCCCTCGTAGCCATCGGGGCAGTAGCACAACATGCGATGCTCCGACACAGTACACAGGGCATTGCGTCCACAAGCCCGATCGTCGGCACAGGGATCCACGCACTTGCCATTCTGGCAGCTTTGATCAGCAGCACAATCTCCGTTCGATTTGCAGCCTGCAATGCAAGCGCCGCGCTCGCACAGCTGTCCCAGCGGACACTGGCGCTTGGGTCCGCACTTGTTGCGGCATTTGCCACGTGCGCACTGCTGTCCGCAGTCGCAGTCCTCGGAGCGGCTGCACTTGGCGGCACAGTAGGCGCCACTCTCGTCACATTCGCAGCCTGGATGGCAACGTACCGGTGGCAGCTGGCAGCCAGTGAGGCCGTCACCCATGTAGGAAGCCGGACACTGGCACTGCACGCCGTGATTGATGACCAAACAGTCAGCGCATTGTCCGCACTGGCCGGGCGTCTGGCATGGATTCTGGCATTTCTTGTTAATGCAAGCCTCGTCGCTGGCGCAGCTGAGATCGTTGCGGCAGCCCGTTTGACAGACGCGATTCTCGCATATCTGACCCTGGGCGCAGGCAGTGTCCGTGTTGCATACGGTGCGGCAAGTACCGCGCATACAGCGCTCATCCGACAGGCAATTCTGATCGTTGCGGCATTTGCCCTGGCAGCTGCCCGCATAGCATAATTGATTAGATCCACAGTCTTCGTTGCGACCGCAAGCGGTGCGTGGTGTTTTGCATGCCACATCGGCATTACCACTGAGTCCCTCGGGGCAGCTACATTGCTTGCGATGATCGACAGCCTGGCAAACTGCATTGGTGCCGCAGGCGGTTGGCTCCGAACACGGATCCACGCATTGCTGCCCAACGCAGGCCAAATGACTGGGGCAGCCTTGATCGGAGCGGCAGCCCGTGACGCAGTTGAGACCCAGACACACTTCTCCATTGGCGCACTCGTTGTCATGGCGACAGAGTGGCTTGCAGACGCCCTGCTGACAGCGCTCATTGGTCAGGCAGCCGGAGTCGTCGGCGCACAGTGGGCGACAGACGGACTCGAAACAGGCCAAGCCATTGCTGCAATCGCGATTTTCACGGCACTCCAGCGGCGGCGTACGAACACAACCGACTTGGGCTGTGGGATTAGGCACCATGTTGTCCAGGCAGCTGCAGCTGGCGCGATGATTGGACACCGAGCAGGCAGCATTGGGTCCACAAGGATTCTCAACACAGGGATTGATACACTTATCGTTGCGGCAGGACTCGGAAGCACTGCAGTCGTCATCCACGTGACATCCATAGACGCACTTATTATGCAGGCACACATGGCCCAGGAAGCAGTCGTTGTCAACGCGACAGGTCACTGCAGAGAGATGATTATTAGATATTTATACTCAGATCTTTTCTTAATAGGTTCAATTATATGAAATCAGTTTTACTGGATCTGATTGAATGATCAGATAATTAGGATCAAAAACTGTGTTTTCAACGACTTAGTTTTTTAGTATAATTCTATAGGTTTTCTGCATGAACTAACCAACGTTTACAATCTTTACTTCTCAAAGAAAAACCTTTAAGCAGAAGAAGCTTTGCCATTTGTGGCCTTCCATCGCCACTCACAAAAATGTCGGACATTAATTAAAATGATCTCAACATATAATAATAATACTTACGCATGCAGTTGCCGCGCAGGCACTTCTCATTGGAGGCGCACTCCAGATCACTGTGACAGGATGGCAGGCACATGGAGTCGCGGCAGGTGTAGCCAGGCGCACAGTCACCGTCGCAGGCTACCGGCACGCGGACACACTCTTTGTTTGCATCGCCGGTGAAGCCCTCCGGGCAGTGGCACTGTTTCACATGGCTAAGCATACGGCATTCAGCATTCTGGCCACACGCCTGCGATTGCAGACAGGGATCAAAGCACTGACCGCCCTGACACACCTCCGACGAAGCGCACTCGGTGTCCAGCAAGCAGGCAGCTATTAGAGTAAGCAAAGGGATTAGTAAATCTTAAAATTGAAATTCAAAGTGCCTCGCTTTCAGTCAAGCCTTGTACGTGTGGTGTTTATTGTTGTTGTCGCGTGTTTATTGTATGTTGTTGTTGTTTTCATTTTGTTTTTGTTTAGTTTACAGTTAGTCTATCTACTGGGTTGAAAGCCGGTCCACAGTTATGCCAGTGGTATAGAGCTAGCTCTATTAATTGCTGGGCATCAGGTTCCTAGTCGAGGATGCATATCTAAATGTGACTCCTGACTAGGAACCACAATCCCACATTAAGTATTCGTGCCAATTTTGTAAGTGAGTAAGTAGCGAATTAAGTTTGTGGCTAGTTGGTAGCTGGTAGTTGTCTGGTAGTCGGTTTTAGACTGGTGCTCGGGTTGGTGTTTGGTGTTAGTACTTACGTTTACATACGCTATCTGAGCAGTAGGTATTGGTGGGGCAGTCGCTAGTGATTTGGCAGGGCATTGGCAATGGCTTGCAGCCGGCCACCCGGTCAGCGGGTTGGCCGTCGTAGCCATTGCGGCAGGCGCATTGCGCCACATGACCTTTCGGAACACATTCCGCATTGGGGCCACATTGTAGCTGGGCGCATACATCCTGACATTTGGGCACACCATTTGTCTTGATACATGCAGCATGCGGGGGACAGTCGTCGTGCGTCTCGCACTCGACAGAGCTACGGCAGCCCTCATTGTAGGGATCACCGATGAGACCAAGTGGACAGGTGCATTTGAAGGAGCCACGCGAATTGCGGCAACGTGCGCCGGGTCCGCACGGCGCGTCCTTACAAAAATCGATAATATCGCAACGCACGCGCGGATCGCCACTGAAACCGGGCTGACAGTGGCAAACCTGACGATGATTCTCTGTTGTGCAGAGCGCATTCTCGCCGCACGGCTGTCCAATCAAGCAGGCAATCTTGCACATGTTATTGTCACAGCTCTTATCGTTGGAGCAGTCATCGTCGGAGCTGCACTCGATCTTGCGACAGCCCGAGCGAGCATCTCCAATGAAGCCCTCTTTACAGATGCAGTCGGGGGCATGCGAGCGCGCCACGCACTCTGCATTGCGTCCACAGGCAGCGCGGCCAAGGCAAACAGATTCACAGCGTGCACGTCCGTAGGCATCCAGCAGGCAGGTTTCATCCTCTCCGCAGTCGCTGTTAACGCTGCACTCCAACTCCTTGGCGCATATGTTGTTCTGACAGAACTGGAATTGAGGGCACGTGGAATTCGACTTGCAGGTGCTCTGGCAGACGCCCTGTAAGCACAGCTGCTCCGAAATACAATCGCGATTGCTGCTGCACAGTGGACTGCAAATGCCATGCGCACAGATGCTGCCCTGTGGACACTGTGCATCTTGTTGGCAGTATTGGAGCTGGACACAGCCCTGTTTGGCGTCTCCGGTGCTGCCTGACTCGCAGGAGCAGAGACCAATGTGATTCTGCACTGAGCAACGCGCCAGCGCGCCACAAGCATTTGGCAGCGAGCACGGATCAATGCACTTGGCGTCAAGGCAGGCCTTGTCAGCGCCACAGTCGCCATTGTCCGCGCACTCGATGTGAACGCACTCCACTTGTGGGTCGCCTCGTGAGTTGGCTGGACAGTTGCAGATGGCCTTGTGTGACTGTGCCAAGCAGTTGGCATTGCGGCCGCAAGCATTTTCGCGCTCACACGGACTACGGCAACGGGAATTCTGGCAGCTAGCTGTGGCCGGGCAATCAGCATCGCTGAGGCATTCGCTGGGATCGCGACAGCCCGCCTGCAGCGGATCACCGATGAGTCCTTCGGGGCATTTGCAGCTGTAGCTGCCGGGCAGATTGTCACAGAAGGCGGTGCTATGGCAAGGTTGATGCATGCACTCGTTGATATCCTCGCAGACTCCATTCGACAGCTGATAACCCTCGTAGCATTCGCATATGGCTTTATGATCAGACACTTGGCAGCTGCCTTTTCCACAGCTGGTTAGGTCACAGGGCTTGATGCAACGGTTGGTCTCGGCATCACAGGCTCGATCGTTGGCGCAGTCAACATGGTCAATGCACTCCACCTTAAAGCAGCCGACGCCTGTGTCATTGGGATCGCCCAGATAGCCAGCAGGGCAGCTGCACGTGGACTCGTGTGCCTCTGCTTGACAATGGGCGTTCGCGCCACAAACAGTATGCAGACAAGGATCTGTACATTTGCCATGAATACAGGAGAGACTGTTCGCACAATCCTCGTGCTTGTTGCACTCTCTTGGCTTGGCGCAACCCTGCTGAGTGTAACCATCGCCGACAGTGCCTTCAGGACAAACGCAACGATAAGAGCCGGGCACATTTTCGCACTTCGCACTGGCATGGCAAGGCTGCTCCGTGCACTCATCAATATCTGAGCAGCCGAAGGGTGTGCCGATGAATCCATTGGCGCACTTGCACTTGCCACTTAGACACAGCTCGGTAGCTGGACAATCCGCGTCCGACTCGCAGCCAGGCTGACAGGTGCGATCGCTGTTGCAAATCTCACCTGCGAGACAATTGTTGCTGGTGTAGCAGACCTTTCGGCAGACCTGCTGGTAACAGCGCTCGCCCACAGCACAGGCCGATGTCTTGCTGCAGGGCAAATTACATTGATTGCCAATGCACATGTGTCCGCTGGGACACTGATTGCTGGCAAGGCACGGGGCTGGTACGCGCACACAGCCCTGTTCGGGCGTTGGGTTTCCTTCGAAGCCATCCGGGCAGGTGCATTGGCTGCGATGCTGGGCAATGCTGCACAAAGCGTTGGGTCCACAGCTGGTAGTTGATTGGCAGGGATCAGCGCACTTGTTGCCAATGCAGGACTGCTCCTGTTTGCACTCCTTGTTGCTGCGACAGCCGATAGCACAGTGACCTTCAATACATGCCAAGCCCTTCGAGCACTGGCTGTGATCCAGGCAGGCGACAACGCAAACATTACCTAAGCAGCGCTCACCGTCGGAACAGTCCTGTGTGTTGCGGCATGCCACGCGGCACTGACCATTGTAGCAGAGTTCTCCGCCGCAATCGACGTCTGTCTGGCATTTGGAGGCACTGCGTGTACATCCATTCTTGGCCGATTCAGAGATTGGCTGGAAGCGTAAGGGGCAGCTGCACACGGGCTTCCGATTGACCACCTTACAGTCCGCATTTGATCCACAGGCATTGTCGCAGGGATTGAGGCAACGTCCACCGGCGCAAATGGTATTCACAGGACAGTCGGCATCGCCGTTGGGACACTGGCCGTCGGGACGGCAGCCTCGTGTATTCGGCTCGGCTTCGCCCACAAAGAGGGGCGGGCACTTGCAGCTGGCGCCATCAGGCGTGACCTCACATATGGCCGTCGGATGGCAGCTGCCAGGCGCACAGCCGCTTTGCTTAACGCAGGCCACCTCGGGCAGGGGATTGCCACGATATCCAGGTGGGCACTGGCACACGGCACGATGATCCTCGGCCAAGCAAATGGCATTCTCGCCACAGGATTCCTCGTCGCAGACATCGTAGCAGGTATGGGTCATACGATTACACATTTGATTAGCTGGACAGTCATGATTGTAGACGCAGGGTACGCTCTTGCAGCCGTTGAACGGATCGTATGGATCGCCTGCATAGGGGCCTGGTGGACACTGGCACTGAGCCTGATGATTATTCGTAATGCAGACGGCACGTGGTCCGCACTTGACGCTTTCGCAGGCGGAACGGCAGCTCAGCGACTGTGTGGTCTCGTCCTTGATGCAAGCCTCCGATTCGGGACATTCTGCATTGTTGCGGCATTGATGTTTGCGTTCCAATTGGCAGCCGTTACGATCGTTGGGATTGCCCACAAATCCAGTCAGGCAATCACAGCGTCCTTGGTGATGACGAGCAATACAAATGGAGTTAGCCGGACAGGTGAAAGCATCACAAATGGCAACACACTTGAGTACTCCCAGCACGTCGGGGCGACATGCGGAAGCATCCGGGCAATTCTCATCGCTGGTGCAGTCGGGCAGTGAAGGCTTCTCGCACGAGGAAACAACTGGATTCCAGACGAAACTTTCAGCACAATTGCAAATGGCATGGCCGGCTGGATTGATTTTGCACAGCTCGTTCGGACCGCAAACAACGTTAGAGCACAAATTAATGCATTCCCGTGTGCCCAGTGCGTCCGACTGACAGCCAAAACCTCGCTCACAGTCCTTGTCTGTGCTGCACTTATTCTCGAGATCGGGCACCTTGCGCTCCGGCTGACAGCCCACTTGCAGATTGCTTGGATTACCAAAGTAGCCATCGGCACAGATACACGACGAGCGATGATCGTCGGCCACACAAAGTGCATTCGGACCGCACTGTATCTTCGAGCAGGCATCGACGCATTTGCGCAGACCCTTGCCCAGCTGGAAACAGATCTCTGTGTGGCGACAGTCTGCGTCGTTGCCGCACTGGCCACGTATGCTGCAGCCTTGATTCAGATCATGAGGATCTCCCACATAGCCCAGCGGGCATAGACATTTACCCGCATCGCAAATAGCCCGTGGTCCACACGCTGTATTGGAGCATAAGTTCTTGCAGTGTCCTTTCTCACAGCTATAGCCATCCGGGCACTCTACGCGATCGCTGCACTGACACTGGTTGGCATCCTGGCAAAATTTGCTCTCAATGGGCTGGCAGCTGCTGTATGGATTGCCGGCATGGCCGGACAGACACAAGCACTCAAAGCTTCCAGCAGTGTTGAGACAGGCAGCATTCAGGCCACATGGCTTGTTGGCGCATTCGTCTATATCCTGGCAGCCGACATAAGGATTTCCGCTGAAGCCTTGTGGGCAGATGCAGCTGATCTGATTGCCGGCAGCGCGACACTCGGCATTGGGTCCACAGCTGTTCGGTTGGCAGACGTTTTTGTTCTGGGCGCCGCATCCTTCGTAGGGATTGCCGTAGGTGCCGGGGTTGCAGGCGCAGCGGCTCTGGCCAATTCCGTATTCGCAGTGAGCATTCTCACCGCAAACGGGCGAACATTTGGCTTGTTCGATGGGAGGCATGCAGAGTAAGTCGGGATTGCCCACAAAGTTAGGCTCGCAGACGCATTTACCGTTGTTCTTGTCGCAGGTGGCGCCAATGCCACAGACGACGCCTTCGCAGCGTTCCTTGCAGCGTCCATTAATGCAAATTTGTCGCTCATCGCAGGGTCTGGAGGCAGTGCACTGATCTGTGCTACAGCTGCCGCCTGGGAAAGGATTGCCCAAGTAGCCCTGTGGGCACTTACACGTGGGTCCTTCGCTAGTGGGTATGCAAAGCGCTCCATCGCCGCAAATAACATCTTGACACTGCGATACACAGTCGCCGTCGGCATTTTTGACGAATCCAACGCGACACCGACACCAGCCTGCATGCTGTTCTGTCTCGCAATAGGCATTCGAACCACATAGCAAACTAGCGCAGGGACTGAGGCAGCTGCCATCCAGGCAGGCCAGATTGCTTGCACAGTCCTCGTTGGTGACACAAGTGCTTTTGGGTACACCACTTTCTAGAATGCAGCCGCTCTTGTAGGGATCACCGGTGAAGCCCTTGGGGCAGACGCACTGGTAGCCACCCTTTTTGTTGACGCAGTAGGCGCCGTAGGCGCAGGGCAAGTGGGCGCACTCATCCTCATCTGTGCATCCAAGCAGCGGATCGCCCTTGAAGCCAACCTCGCACATGCACTGCGGAGGGTCGGAGGGCGTGCACTTAGCATTAATGCCACATGGGAAGCGCTCGCAGGGACTTTTACATTTATTGTTATCTTGTGGATCCAGGAAGTAGGGCGGCGGGCAGACGCACTCGCCCGGCTGTATGCATTTCTCGTTGCTGGCGCATTCCTTGTCTGCGGCGCATTTGCGCTGTGCCGGTGCACAGAGTCCATTGTAGGCGTCTCCTTGATAGCCCTCTGGGCAGTGGCAGCTGTAGCCACCATTCTGATTAACACATAGAGCTCCATAGGCGCATAACTGGGCGCCACGTTCTTCGCACTCGTTGACATCCACACAACTGCCATCAGGCTGCGTTTGATAGCCCTTGGGGCAGGCGCAGTAGCTGACACCACCGGCTATAGAGATGCACTCGGCTCCGCTGGGGCATGGCTGTCCCGTGGAGCAGCCGGCCAGCACGCAGCTGTTGCCCAGGAGCTTGTACGGCGCTTGGCATTGGCATTCGGGACTGCTACAGATCTCACACATGACAAAGGGATTACCGGTATGTCCTTGTGGGCAGCGGCACTCGTAGCTGCCAGGCAGATTTTTGCACAAGGCATTGAGACCACACGCGGGCTTAGCACGTTGCGCGGAACATTCATCAAGATCCTGGCACTGGCCAGTCTCTGCATTGCGTTCGTAGCCTTGGCGACAAATACAAACACTGCTGCCAGTAAAGGCATCCTGAACACAGCTTTCGCCGAGGGCACACGGATTGGCATCGGAGCAGCCGACAGTCTTTGGTGTGGCGCAGCCTTCGGTGTAAGCATCTCCCGTGGAGCCACCGGGGCATTGGCATAGATAGCCGCCGGCAGTGTTGCTACAAATGGCATTGGAAGCACAGGGATTGGCGCGGCATTCGTCGATGTCACTGCAACCTCCTGGCAAGGCAGCATTGCCTGTGTAGCCTGGTGCGCAGAGACACTGTGCTTGTCCGTTCGCCAGCATGCACTGGGCATGGGCACCGCAGTCGCGCGTCTCGCACGGATGGCGACAATCGTTTCCAATATTCGGCTCCGGGCACAGACAGCGCTTGGTCTCATCGCAGATGGCATTACCGGGACACTGCTCGTTGGTGGAACAGCTAACGATGGGCACGCAGTGCACTGAAGGATCCGGGTCGGGTAGTGTGCCATCGGGACAGCGACAGGTATATCCACCTCCTGCCATATTGACGCACTCAGCGCCAATTCCGCATTTATTGCCCGCACGGCACTCATCGACGTCCTGGCACTTGCTATGCGGATCTCCCGAATAGCCTGGCGGACAAGCGCAGCTGTAGCCACCCGGTGTGTTAGAGCAGGTGGCATTCTGTCCACAGCTGCCAAAGGGTCCGTGCAATACATCGCATTCATCAATATCCACGCATCCGGCAGCCACATCACTCGGATTGTAGGTCCAACCCTCCTCGCAGACGCAATACGCTTCATTCTGATCCGGCTTGCAATAGGCATGGGCCCCACAGCGTACATCCTCGCAGGGCTGTTTGCATGCCATGCGCGGCGGGCTGCCTACATATCCAGCCTCGCAGTCGCACCGATAGGAGCCGGGCGTGTTCAAGCACTGGGCATGCGGTCCACAGGCTTCGGCGTGCGTGCGACACTCATCAATGTCAACACAGCTTGAGCCAATGGGCTCGAATCCATCCAAACAGAAGCATTGATTCTCAATGCACTCAGCATTGTTGGTGCAGTCGAAGCTTGTGCGGCACAATATGTTTACGTCGACCTGTTCGCACGCCACTTTGGGATCGGGTTTTCCATCATAGCCCTGTGGACACTTGCAATTGTAGCCCGGTACGGCATTCTCGCAGATTGCATGCTGTCCACATGGCTTGTCCAGTGCGGCGCACTCGTCGATGTCCACGCAGCCGCGGAACGGATCGCCGGTGTAGTCGGGTTTGCACGTGCAAACAAAGCTGCCGATGGTATCTGTGCAGATGGCGTTCTCACCGCACGGATTATCCTGGCATTCGTTGATGTCTGATGACATGGTGCAGGGGTTGGAGGGGTTCGTGTATATATTGATATTTGAGGGGTAGCAGGCAACGTGTTTTGTAGCGTTTTCGTTTTCGAGTTGAGAGGGAAGTTGGTTAAATATATTGCAATTAATTAAATTAGTAATCATATCTCAAATAATACATAACAGTTGAAGTTGTGAAATCATAGCGTGAAAGTGGGGGAGCATTGGGTAGGTTGTTGGATTTTGGGAGGAAATAGGAAATACTGATAGAAGCTGTCTGAGTAGCAGAAGAAGCGGGAATAAAAGCGTGGCTGAAAAGCTCTCAAAACTTGTAGAAAAGCGTCTGAAAGCGTATAGCAAAAGGAAGCACAGAGTGAAGAGAGTGTAAAAGCGTAGCTTATAGAAGCCATGCGTGGTTCCGAAGCCGCCTTGCAATCAAAAGCTAAGCTTTTACGCTCATTTAAAGTCTAAGCTAGAGATGAGCGCGTGACAAAAGACAAACACGAATTCATTTTCAGACTAAGTACAAAATGTAGACAACAGCTTTTAAATTTGGAAAGGAGGAACCCGTTATCGTGTGCCACATCTCATCGCATCTTGGGACGCGCCCATCTCTAAGCCGAATGCCATATCGTGGCTAAACGACTTTTATGCCAAAGCATGCAAATTAAGCAAATACTAACTCTCGCAGTGCAAATAGCCCTGTCCTTGAAATCCGCTTGGACAGAGACAACGATATGAGCCGGGAAAGTTAATGCACTTGGCATTGGTGCCGCATTTGGCTACGCCATCCGGCTGATTGCATTCATCGATGTCCAGGCAGGCCAAGCCAGCGCCCGATGTGGGGGCTGGCTGTATCAGTGTATCGCCATCGCCATAGCCCAGTTGTAGTGTGGGTGTGGCTAGCATTGGCGGCTCAGCGTGCGGATCATGCTCAAGCACAAAGCCCAGTGGACAACGACATTGAAAGCTACCGCCCAAGTTCACGCATTGAGCACCCAAACCGCATGGATTGTTAATGGCGCATTCATCGACATCTGCTGGCGTTGTTTATTCGTGTTAGGCATTAATCGTATTAATGGTTCGAATTGCGGTGCATTTATGTGGCAAGTGGCGTGTATATATGTGTATGTGTGTATGTGTTTGTGTGTGCATTCGTGTGCGAATTTTTCCAAAAAACGTGTGCAAAAATATACCAAAATAATGATGGCAAATATATCGAAAATGAGTAAAAATTCGCATTGAAAATATCATAAATAGTTGCTACTCACCCTCGCAGCCATGCATGGGATCACCGCTGAAGCCATCGGGGCACAGGCAGCGAAAACTGCCATCGGTATTCAGACAATCCGCATTGCGTCCGCAGGGCGTGCGTGCGCACTCGTCCAGATCGGCGCAACCCTGTTCGGCACGTCCATCGCCATCGTATCCCGGCGGGCAGTCGCAGCGATAACTGCCCTCGAGATTTGTACATATGGCACCGGGTCCGCACACATTCGGATATGCGCATTCATCAACATCCTGACAACCGTCGTAGGGATTGCCCACGAAGCCCTCGGGGCAGGCGCACGTGTGGTTGCCGGGCGTATTTATGCACTGAGCATGGGCACCACAAGCCAGCGGATTGCTGCACTCGTCAATGTCCGTACACAGCACCTCGCCATCGCCCGTATAGCCATCCTTACATTTGCACAGGAAGTGCGCCGGCAGATTACAGCACTCGGCATTCTCCACGCAACGCGATGCTATCGCCGGATCTTGGCATTCGTCAATGTCTGTAACAAACAATCATAACAGTTGAGACGCATGATTAATTGAACTTGAAGTCGCAAAGCCCTCCCGACCAAACGAAAGACTTAAGCAGCAAACTTGAAATGGCTCTACGCATTTTCCGTCTGGCTGCGCAACAGTCAGTGTTGCTGGACCACCACATCAAACGACTTTGGCATTTGAAATTTGCATGTTACGCATGACATTTCAGTGTCATCCACATTAATCTATGCATGTGGAGCTAAGCCAAACCAAGCAGCAATGTCAATGCGCACAGGATGCACCAGTTGCATACATTTAGCAAACAAATTAACTGTTCAGCTAACCGGAGGGTCATTGGCCAACACATGCCAATGATTTTTTGGTTTTCATAGATATGTTTCATATTAGCGAAACTTTGTTTGATTAACACTTTCTAGTTAACAAATTTGATTTTGATTTGATATTTATTTATAGCAAAATGTAAATTAACTTTTATTAGCAAATGAGCTTTTGTGATTTTATAGGCTTGCTTTTAAAATTGTATATAAATATATAAATATACATATATATGAATATAGTGTACCATAATCCCTAACCTTAATCTTTTCTATGAACACGTAATCGGTTTCAATCGGACTTATCGATTTTCTAACTGGGATTTAGATTAACTTTTCATCTATAGGTATTTTGTTTTGTGCTGTTCCGATTTCCCTTTGTTAAGCTTTAGCTGACTTTTATCTGTGCACGGCGTTTGTTTTAATTGGATGTATCCATGGCTAGCTCATGCGGAAGCACCACATTGGAACTTTCCGCTCCAGTAGGCCGCACCGCATTGAGAATTCAATCGGAGTACCCCGGAGCCAATGAAGCGGTAACTGGCAAACGATGCCAGTCTAAGGGCCGCATACAGATACAAATGAAAACAACACGATGGACGATCTCTTCGGCTAACTGTGGGCCATTAATCATTGGGCTTATGGATAAGATATGTTGTACATTTATAGCTAATATGACATAAGTACAAAAGTTGGCAAAAGCCAAAGACAAGGACGCGAACAGGGAGTGAGATGTTTCTACACACACATGGACGTGTGTGTGTGTGTTTAAGTGTGTTTATGTTTGAGTGGAGTGCCTTATAATTATGAGCAGTCGAGCAAGTTGCGCAGTTATAATTACTAGTTTTTAGCTTATAAATTAAGAGGATCATCACTCTAAAACTGGTATTCCCGCCCCACCAAGGCTCTCTCTCAGAACACACTCACACACACACACAGAGACAAACTGATATGGCTGCATTCCATGTTTTGCTGCCGCAACGCCAGCAATTGCTAACTCTGATTACTCAATGTCATCGTCTTCGTTCGCCTGTCTGCCGACTGGCAGTTGGCAGTTGCCAGTTGGTAGCTGGTAGCTGGCAGTTGGTAGCATTGGCCAGAAGTTTAGCCAGAAGCAGGAAGCATTCTATGTTCTTCTAAGTTTCAATGTCAGTTTAATTACTTTATGCAATGCAGTTACAGAACGCTGAGACAGAGGGTTGTCCAGCCAGACCCTGGCCCAGGCTCCAGCTGAGGCCCAGGCATAGGCCAATGACCAAAGGCCATTGGCCAACTGGTTGTAGCTCCTGCCACCAGCTGTCATATAATATTTTACAGTCCGTTTGACGTTAGGTGCAAAATTCAATTTATTTGTGCTTCAGCGTCTAATTATAATAAAAATAAAATTTTGGAGCATAGTTCTACTCGCTTCGATGTGGGCGTGGGCCAGCCTTGGGCCAAATGTTGTGGCTCTCCACTTGAAAACCAATCAAATATGCGTGACTAAATGTAATTAACTTGAATGCATGTTCAAAAAAAAAAACACAAAAAACGATGCTGACATAATTTCATCGTATTCTCAGACCCACTCGGATTTCAGATTTCCGGTTGGGCTTCGGGTATGATTAGAAGCACATTCTGTTTAGTTGGTTTTTTGTTTCTTTCTTGTTCAAGTAGCCCTGGCAGAACATTTCAGAGGTTTGTCAGAGAACTTAGAGTTTTATGAAATTTATAACTGATAATTGAATTAGCCAACCAAAGTTTGTCGAGTGTATGAAAAATATGGCATCACAGAGGATTCAATTCTTGTTGCATCATATAATATTCAACTTTTCGCCAGTTCACCAAACATTCTGCGCTTTGTTTAAGTGCACTAATCAAAAATAATTAGCAGTCGCGTCTGTTCGACTATTGTGAAATGCTAAAACAAAAATCTACATAGCAGATAAATTCTGGAGCGCTGCCTGCCTGCCTATCAGTGTGCTGTCTGGTCTAACTGGCGTCCATCTAATAAATCTATGTAATTGTTGTGCTAATTAGCATTTGCGAATTTGTTGTTGCTTTTGATTTGAGTTATGACATTCGTGCCACAAAAGTGTGCACTATTTTTACAGATCGTCGCATAGTTTATAGAAGAACAGCAATTTATGAGCGGACATGACTTTCATGCTCCACTGCTGTACGATGATGAGCGACTCTCAAAAAATACAGAGAAACACAGATAGAAACACAAAGCTTCAAGTATATGTGACTAATTTATGGTGAAGCATAACTCACTAACATTTGAACTTGAACTCGAGCAAAAAGTGAAGCGAATTGCAAAAAAAGCTTAAGAATTTAGAATGGAATGGCGTGACTTGTAAATACCCTGTTTAGGTAACTTGTATATATATTCCTCTACGCCTAGGTAAAATGCCCAAAGCTAATAACGGCCTATTTTACCTTGTAGATCTCTGAGTCTTATATATATTATATATCACTTCTTATATATCACTTTTTGGCAAGTATATGACATTGTGTACAGAGAGGATTAGTAACTGCTAGAATTGTAGAGGTTTACAGACTTTTTAAATAAAAATTTGTCAATCTTAAGACTAACTCCATTGATGAGAGAACAGGCTTAAGCCAATCTAAGGAAAGGAAGCCCATAAAATAAAATCGATTTAAAATGTTAAACGAGCCAAAGACAATCAAAATGTGCGCTTTAATTGTGTTAAGATATATATTTATATTTTGTATGCTTTATTTTATATACCTTCTACACATTGTGCACAGGGTATTTAAGAAAAAACATAAATGGGGCATAAAATTAAAATGAAGGAAAACTGAAATTAGCTAACAAATTTGTGGCGCAATTATGCGTTAAGTATTTCCATATATACACACACTTATGTGTGTAAGGCGAAAAGATCAAGGTCGCCGGCAAGTGATGTCAGCGTCAGTGTCGAAGTTGGAATCATGGGTGGCTCAATTGGCGGCAGCACCACCACGCGTGAATGTGGCAACATGCGGCGACCCGAAAAGGGGCGGCTGGCATAATGAGGCGTGTCAATGCCGACGCTTTAGGCCATTTTCATGGCTTATCAGCCGTCGGCTGCGACACGACAATTAATTGCTGCCATTTTGATATGCAAAAAGTGCAAAGTACCTTAAGAAAATATATACGTATGTCCGCTATATACGATATATATATATATATTGACAGATTAAACACGTTCGGTCTACAAAAGCTAGCGACGCTTATCAGCTGACGTTGATCACAAGCTGTGCGTCGAACTGGTTGGCGTATTGTGTAGCTTGTAACTGGGAGCTGGGAGCTGGGAGCTGGAGTTGGAGTTGGAGTTGGAGCTGCTGAAGTCAGTGCCGTTTGCTGCTTTTGAGGACAGCATTAAGCGCCGACAATGCTACCGCCTCATGCGTTGCCAATGCCGCCAAAAGCTGCGCTACGTGGGCCACAATCTATTTTATCCGTTTTAATGATCTGCCCCAGTTAGCGAAACGAAAGGGAGCAGCCGCCTGGTGAACGTGGCAAACAAACAAAAATAACAACAGCACAAAAACAAAAAAAAGAAACACAACAACAGCTGCAACAACTTTGTAAGATTATTTCATGTTGTTGCTGTCGCTTGACTGCCGCAAAAATGGTTATAAATTTAGCACTCAACTCGAGGCACTCACTCCATTTTTCTGGTTGGCGCGTTGCAAGACAAATACATTAGAAGCAGCTATTGACTTGCCACAAACCAACAGACAACTGGGTGCCAATGTGTGTGTGTGTGTGCGTGTTTCTGTGTGTATTGCAATTTTGTCTTTGCCGTCTTGAGAGTTAAGACTTCATTGCATAACTGGACTTTGACGACGCGTTAACGAAGCCATCGCCAAATGCACGCATCTGAGTTATGAACATGAAATAATGCGAATGTGCCACCAGGTCTGCAACAGGTTGCAGGCAGCACCGCTTTATACCGTTACACCTGGCAGCCAAACAGGTAGACGCATGAGATCTCCCTCCACGCAAAATGTGTCGCTATCTAAGCCAAAAAGAGCGGGGGCAGCGGTAGTTGGAGCTGAAGCTGTAGCTGCAGCTGGATAGGCCAACTTCAGGCCATGATTTGTATTGCAAAGTTTATTGGGTGAACTTGAGCGAGCCACGCAAACTGGATATATACACGAGCAATAAAGTCAAATGCTATAAAGTCGGTTAGCCATGGAAAATGAATAGATTTGGCACAACATATGAAAGGAATAGTAATAACGATTTTTTACTTCTTCTTAATGGTGCAGAAACTGTTCGTGGGGAAAGGAGAGATGAGTTTTCTTATGTGAAATTATCATAAAGTTATTTAAGATCTAATCCAAGTCAAATATTTTGACTCTTCAGATTGCCTGAATCGACTTTTTGCACAACTTGTATTCAGTTATACGAGCTTTCTCAGTTAAAGGCCAGCTGTAATTTTTTGCGGTCCGAGTTGAGATTAGCCAGCGAATAATTAAAAGTAATTACGTACTAATGTTGAGGCGTTTTAAAGTCAATTCATCAAGATTTAATTAGATACACTCGTGGTAATTTTGATTGAATGCAGACGGTGGCAATGTCGAGGGTGCGTGTCAGTGGCTTTTCATGGAGTTCAAGTGCTTATGCCACGCACATGGGTAGCCGAGACTTTCTCAGCGTATTTAAAACAGGTTGATTCAAATGATTACAGGCAGTTTGAGCTGTTCTTTGGAACTCGGACTGTGCTGTCGTAATGAAATGCATCTCGAATACGTGCACAAGGCGAGAGAAAGAAAAGGCGACGTTCGGGGCAGGTGGAAGTGGAATTAGATAATGCTCGTATGACTGCAATGCGATGCTGGCGTTACATGCCACTGCCCAGAATTTATGCATGCCTGCCGGTCGTTGCAAACTGTGACTCCACCCTCCCATCTCCCCAGTGTGCCCGCCCAGTCGTCTGACAGTCGCTGCGAGAAGTCGTCACATGTAATCTAGAATCTCGGCAACGTCTTCATACTTAGTGGGGTAATGCCAGAGCGTTTGTGAAATTTGCGCTCGTTATCGCATTGCATCGCTGGCAACGAGAAGCGAGCAACGAGCAGCGGGTAGTGGGAAGAGGCAGCAGCAGCCACAGCTAGACACATGCTCTTGAGTGTTGAAAGTTCTGGCGTGTCCATGTTTGGGGTCAGATTACATGACACTGATTCCTCGTCTAACAGACGTGTGTGCTCGTAAGTACGATTATGTCTATGTCTGTTCCATGGCGCGAAAGCATTGCTACAAATGTTGTGGTTTTCCTTCCTATGTAGAAGCAGCCACCAACCACTACCGAGCCACTACCGCCACCACCACCATCATTACAATCATCATCATCAACTGTGCCAAGAGCGGCAGCAAATGTAGGAAGAGTTTTTTGCAGGTAAGTGGTCCCTTGCTTAGAATCTTCTGCTTTTCTAGTTATTATTGTTATTTTTTTTTAGATTTTCTTGTGCTCTTTTTGCCTCTGCGGTGCCATAATGTGTTTTCATTACGCAACATTAGGCCGAGTCCAATTATGGCTGCCAGCTTTTCACTGTCGAATAGACAAGACAGGCAAACAGGTGCGCAGAAGGGTTTCTGGGCCCACGCTGAGAGCAATTTAAAGAGCGAACAAGCCGATGAAAAAAGCTCATTAACCCGAGACCTGTACAAGAAACTATATCAATCTAAAGAAAAAAGTATCTGGGAACTATAAACAAAAACAAAAATGTATCGCATAAGAGCATCTACATAGATATAGCTAGAGATAACTAGCCAATGTCGTAAGTACATGAAGTTAGGCTGAAAATTTACTCAAAGATCAGCTACAATACAATGTAATACTCTTTAAGCTAAAAGGCTTAGCATCATTATTTATAGAGCTACATTTCTTTTGGACTATTAGAAAGTCTTAAATGTAATTCGGATTACATAATACTTGTTCTCAGTGCTTGGTCTTTGAGATCCACTATGGTACATCTCAATGATCACAGCCTCAACAATAACAGACTCGCAACAAAGACGCTATAAGGTACTCAAGTGTAATCGCTACACGGTCATTATTATTACCTCGCTGGCTAAGTATACAGAGGAGATTCCATTGTAAGCTGAGAGAAAAGCTTTCATATTATTGTTGGCGCTGTTGCCGTTGTTGTGATGGCCGGCGCGTCTTTTGTTACATTTTCAAATAGAGGCTGGGCACTTGAGACGATTTGAAATGACTTGGCTCAGAGATCTCCAGCGAAATAAACCGTTAGCATTAAGATCTATGGGTAACCTAGACTGGCGGCGGCTAACCGGGTACAAATAATATAACAGACGTTGACGGAAGTCCAAAACGGCAACAACAATCATTTGTTGTGCTGTTGTTGTTGGGCTGGCCGGTCGGTCGGTCATTATGCTTATGCTAACAATATGGCTGGCACTTACCTTCACAATGGAAGCCATCGCCGCGATAGCCCGGAAAGCAGGTACACGTGAAGCTGCCCAATGTGTTTGTGCAATGGGCAAACACATCGCATGGACGTTGCTTGCATTCGTTCTCATCTGTGAAGGAGAGAGGTTTTTTGTTTTTTGTTTTTCATTTTATTTTTACGGTTATGTAAGTTGAGACAAGCCCACATGGCTAAGGACTTACCCTGATCGACGCAATTGCAACCGCCAAAGCCGTCATTGCAATGGCAAACGCCATTCAGGCAAACACCATTTGTGCACTGTGTGCCATCCTTATCACAGTCATCTGCAAACAGCAACAACAAGAACAAGAAAATATAAATTTAGTTTATCGTTAAGTGAACCCATTCAAGACGGAGCTTGCAGTGGTGCTTACTTGTGCATTTGAGCTCTTTGCTCAGCTCATCGGAACCAAGAAAGCAGTCTTGATTACCGTCGCAGATTTTCGATAGATCGTATAGTTGCAAATAGTCTGTAGACTCATTAACTTGGCAGCCAAAATAGCCATCTTCGAGATTCAGAAAGAACACTTCGCCTCGAAATCGACTATGCTTGTTTGGATTTGTCTTAAAGGGTTGTATTTGTTGGTGTTGTGAATGTACCTGTAACGGGAAAAGGTACGATAAATAATGTGGATAACAGAATAAGAGTCATACTTTTAATACTAAAATGGGTACTTTGTAATTTCCCTAGGTTAAAACGTTGCTTTTCCCTGACTCCGAAATGATTCATTCTTCTAATTTTGTTGACTCGAATGAAATATTTAACTTTATAAAATGTGGAACACCGGCTACAGATCTACATACATTTATGTAGATTTTAAGATTCTAAAGCTGAGCTGACATTTCGAAGACAGTTTTCCACCCAAAGCTTAACCCATTTAACATTTACAAAAAGGCAGCAGCTGCAACCTTCGCTATGTTTACCAAGTTTCATTTCGTATTTTGTGCTTTTAGTGGGGCTTGAAACTAATTTAAATTCAAATTAGATACAGTAAAGTTAGCAGGCGTAGCAACGTCAGCGCTTCTTCAACGAGATTTCCTAACCGACAGCCGCAGCTTGATGCGGTCCATATGGGCAGCATATTTATACAGGTTTGCATTCATAGCACATACATACAGCGTCTTTTGCTGCTGCTGCTGCTGTCGCTGCTGTTTGTGTTGTTTTGCCAACGCTTAATTGTTACACTTCGTTGATTTTACTTTTATAAGCACACACAAAAACAAAAGTTGTTTGCCATATTTTCTCAGTGTGTATATGTGTGTGTGTTGCCTGAGTGACTGAGTGACTGACGGTACGGTTTGTTACTGTTACCAACGCTCAACATTAGATAGCGATATAAAAAACGAGTTTGTCACTTAAGACCTTTTTGCGCTACTGCAAAACGAATTAAAACAAGTTTCATTTGGGTAACACATTGTGTGGCTCTTATATTTCGCATTTTTTTATTTGTTTTGTACTCGCAGCTCGATCACTTCCTACGTTTCGGCGTTCCATTCCAATAAAAACATTATGGCTGTGTCGACTTTTGAGTTCCTGCTACGTTTTTAATGGCATTTAGCTAAAGATTCCAACTGTTTGATATCTCCACATGTTAATTTGACATAATCAACTGCATATGTGTGTTAGAAAGCAGGCCAAAGGTAAATAGCTGACTGAAGACTGTGTCATCCGGGAGCATAAACTTGAACTTGGCTTATGATTTACATAGTTAACATAAATAGCTTTTAATTAACTCATTTGATTCTTCTTATTAATCGTATTTATTCATCAGATATTCAGAAAAATTAAAGCTGATTTTAATAATATTAGAACATGGTCAGAAAGAAGTTATGGCAAGCTTTTGTTTGACTTTGGTAAGGAAAACCTCTGCATTGTGCTATCTGCTATTCACTCATAAAAGATACCAGAGTATTTAGCCTGTTTGAAAGAGCATCTCAACTTTTTTATTGATCGTTTGCCTCTTTAGATGTTGTGTACAATTGGGCCGTAAAGAATTTTATGATAGAACTGAAAGGCAATCTCTGTTTAAGCTGTTGCTCAGGATTTTGGTGATCAAACCAATTACTGTGAGGTTGGGCTGAAGCTGTGTTGTTTCCATTTTCAGACCAAGACACGTGAAGCGCATTGCCACCTTTCTAGCTGGCTAATGAGCAGCAGCCCCACCACGTATAAAGAGTGCAATAAAAGCTAAGGTGTGAGCATGAAGCACTCACTGCTGTCAAGTTCAAGTTAAGTCTGAGAATTGTTTTAAGTAGATTTTTATCAAAAAAAGCGAAAAAAAAGTTGTGTGGAAGTTCTATCCACACGTTCGTTGTGAGTTGAGATGAGGTTTTTTCAATTGGTTTTGCTTTGTGCTCGCTTCACGCCATGCAACGCTAGCGGCCTTGCTGAACAATAGATGCAGCTATCAGCAGCCAGCAGCAGCTAACCGCCAGTAGACGCCCGCCGCCCCCTGCCTGCTCACAGCTACCTTATAGTTTTATCAACTGACAGGCTGCACAATAAGCAGCGCATGCACTCAAGTGCAGCAGCAGCAGCTCCAGCAGTCGCATCATCACATGCAACAATTAAAGGTGTGAGTGTATTGCAATGAAGATGATGCTGCTGCTGTTGCAGCGAAACTCCCATGACATTGAGCGGCGCGCCGTCGTAGCACAATGAAATTTTTGTTGTTGGCAAGTTGTTAGCAAAGTTAACTGAGACAATGACAGCGCCCGTCAACGCTCAAGTGCATCCGTTATAATAACTAACTGTCGATGGGTATTTGCTGTGCGCACTTGAATTTTGTGTATCAGTAAGTCAGCCAGGCAAGTTTGTTGCCTAAGTCTTTTGTTTGGCCTGTCGGGCTAATCAAATTAATAACAAACAAAAATCTCTACCCTTTCGCACGCATTAATCATCTAATCAAAACGCACAAATAGAAAGCGAAGCACGTCAAAAAATAAATAAAAATAAACAAATACAAAAAGTTCCCTCCATTGAGAGTGTCGCGAAAAGGCAACAAATGCGTGAGCTGGTGAATGTCAATGAACTTGTGGCTTAGCTTTAGGCTTAAAGCATTCTTTTGGCCAATTTATAAAGCACCGGTTCAGGCTGCCACAGACCGCTATCGTCTATCTCTCTCTCTGCTTCACTCTTTTTAGACCACTGCATAAATCGATGACTATCGCAACATTTTTACAGCTAATGCGGCTATTTTTATTCATTACGTTTTTCGGCTTTCTACCATCGATTTGTGTCTCGGGTCTTCTTCGTTGCCCATTTCTCTGTTCCATTGAATCGCCGACTGTCTGCGACTTAATGGAGGAAGGGTATACTGTGCTTTGGACTTAACTCATGACTTAGACCAAAAGCAAAATATTTAAAACTAGTGAAGCATTCAATTAACTGAGTTGTAATGAATAAATAATAATTTCTTCAAAATATTTTCTATAATATATATGTATTAGCATTTGTCATTTTAAAAGAGTATCTAAAAGTCAAACTCTTTTCTTTTCTTCTAATTTTGTCTGTTATTTGTTCTGCACTATCATTACACCATCTGCCCGCACAAGCATGTTTTCCCGTTCTCTTTCTGTTTAAACAGCCATCAAGTCAACTATCTAATGCCATTTTCTGTCTGCTTGTCTAAACTGCCAATTTATTTGCTAAGCAACAAGTCAAATTTTTCTTAAGTTCTGAGTTATCGCTTCGTATTTTCTTTCATTTCACAGTTTGTTGTTAAATTTAATAAGTTTGTGCTTAGAATTGAAAAATAAAGCTCTTTGGTAGTAATTTCTCGTTTATGGCTCATTTGCATGGCCGGCCGGACATGTACCGTTAGGCCATCAAACATCTTGCCGCACCGGGTTGCATCATTATGAGCATTTGCTTTTCTTACAGCTGAGATCATATATATATATATATATATAATATATATATATATATATATATATATATATATATATTGTTGTTTACTGCTTGTATTAAATTTTGTTCAATAATGAGTTGTCAGCTCGTAAATTTGTCAATAGCCGCGGGCTTTGTGTGAAAGGTGCTCAGAGTTCTGGACAAACTCATAAATTAATTATTGTTCATATGCTAACTGACAATGCCTGAGTTCTAATCCAAGTCTATTAAAATTTATGGCTTGGCCTGAACCTGACTTTCCTTTGAACCCGGAGCAAGCCACACCTCTATCAGTCTATATTGTTCTCAGCCAATGTGATTAGTCAAGAGCCTAAGCTTGAATCCATTCATAAAATACTACCGGCTTTTGTTAGTGAAAAATATAAAGTTATTTTAAGCATAAGTTACTGATTTTTAAACTTTAGGAAAGAATATAAAATATAATTATTTTCTATTTAAATTTCTTGGCATAATACTTACTGTACTCGAGAGTAGTAGCACTATCCACGTGACTAGTGGCAAAAATATTTTCATTTTTGCTGAAATGAGAAGAAACGAGAATCAGACACATTAAAAATCATTAAAAACACAATTAAAAGCAAGTTAAGAAAACATAATGCGTACGGCTAGGGTCTACTTAAATTAAATTGTAATGCGATTTCCTGCTTAAGAGTCCAAACCAAAAACAAGAATCACAAAAACAAACACAAACACAAATAATTAACTTAAAATTTCAAACACGCAGCTCGAGAGCCCTGCAAAATTGGCCTGGTCATCAGGGACAGGTGCCAAAAACCAACAAAATCTACAAAGAAAGAAACAAAAGACGGCAGACAAATAAAAATACACTTACAAAAAAATGTGCGGCAAGTGCGAAGACGGGTAAATGACACTTGAAATTTATGCGCAAACATGAGCAGCGTCTCTGCTTATCTTTCAGCCTTTTCTCTGAAAAATTTATACAACGGCACTGCAAACACAGACCAGCATAAAAATTACAGCAAACAGCCCAAGAGAGCGAGAGAGATAAAACACCTCTGGCAAAAAATAAAACAGTTGTATATTTATATATGTGACCTGGCCATTGTTGTTGTTGCTGCACGTTTTCTCACGCATTCATTTTCCACTTTCAGTTTTCAGCTGCTTTGGATTTTCATAAAGTTTTGGCCGGCATCAAACTGGCGCGACTAGCGAAGTGGACAAGGCAAGGCCTGTTAATTGGTAGAATAGTCGTAAAGCAATACAAAATTGTCGCTGCGGGCCGGAGGAAAAACGTAATAATTTTGTGTGAAAACTGATAGCATCTTTATATGGTATTCAGATGGCTGGATTGTCAGGTAGGTGGCCATATAATTATGACATAATCAAACAACGGCTGTTACCGGAAGTTGGGCCGACACTACCTTAGATAGAATTTACACGCGGCAATCATAAAACAGAAGAAGAACGAGCTGAAGAAGAGCCACACGAAGAAGATACTCTCCATTAATATGTACATGGGTTTTGTGGGCATGGCATGATGTAAAGCCAGTGCGCCCTTTCATCTGGGCGTCAACAAACAACTTTCTTAACTTGGCGTGAACGTTAACGTCTGCATATGTTAAAATATTTGCCATTATCTGCGTGTATTCTGCACAAAACACATATAAATCGCGCCCCGGGCACACAATAAAAACTTCAACGGAGTCCAAGCAACATGCTACAAGCCAGCGCCTGGTTTTCGGTTGTGGGCCTGGCCCTGGTCCTTGGCTGTGGCCCAGCCTGGTCGTACGATTTATCTATTTCGGTTTATCAGCTAATAAACGCTTAAATAAAATACACACTCTAAGCTAAATTACATGCGCTTTGCACGATTGCCAGCCAAAGGAAATAAACCTTGAACAAATCGTAGGCTAATGCGGAGGCAGCCTAACTTTGAGATACCCTTTAAGCTATAGAGAATTCAAAATTGTTAAACAAACTCGCTATGCTTCACTGTACATTCCCGATATCATATAAAATAAAAAACTGAGCAATCCTTCCATACTACTTACGACATTTACAGGGTATGACTACTACAGTGCACTGCAAACTCAACTCAGGCCAATAGATTCGCTCTCTTCTAACGACATTTGAAGCGATCCAGGCTCTGATTCTGGTTACGCTTTCGACTCGGGTCCCGGCCCATGTTGAAGGCCATCGCCTTTTTGGTTAATCTTGTTTGGCCGTTTATGCCGTGGCCGTGGCAGTGGCAGTGGCAGCGGCCGTGGCCTTTGGGCGCTTTTGTGTGTTGTCCATGTTCATGATCACTTAATTAAAGCAGGAGCCATGGCCGTGCCGCTTTAGAGTTTCTCGATCTCTCGCACTTACATTTTATGTGCGCTCACAATGTAGTTGCGAATATATTTTTCTGTGATGCTTGATAAATTTATGTTGCCGCGAAATGAGCGTAATTTGGTTGCTTGCTGCGGCCTGAGAGTTTGGTTTGGCTTGCTTTGGCTCAGCTGGGGATTAGCGACTCCCTTCCGGCTGACAAGCTGATAAATGTGCGTGATAAATGTGAATGCTCTTGTGGTTGTTGCCGTTGTTGCTGTTCGTTAAGCCTGATTGAAGATCTAACAATGCCAAGTGCTATAAACTCTCAAGCCCTGCAACTACCATGAAATAACTAAATTGGATAAGGCCTTAAGTGCCTCCCAGTCTAGTCTACGCCGGATATAAATATTTATTCGGTTTTATCACCATGTGAAACTTGTTTTCCAATTTAGCCAAAGGTCAGGCATTAGTTCAAGATGTTCTGCACAATTAGAATTAATTATCTTTTAGCTAGACTTCATGTAAACTGATTTACGTATAAAAGTTCTGATACTCACAGCCAAATGCTTGTCTAATCTTATTAACAACGAGCCAGATAGAACGGCATCAACTTATGCCCTGTTTGTGTGGAAGCTTCTTTTCAAAACTTGTTTCAATTAACATTCATTTACAGCAATTGAACTAACGGCAATTCCATTGTTTATTTTGAATAGTTTTTTGGAGGCAACAAATCAAAATATTTGTACAATGTCAACACTTCGAACGAAGGTTAGCAATCAAATGAGCTAAAGCCACGAAATCAAGAAACCGTTTCGTTCGCTTTGGCAGTTAAATTTTGAAGCGCCCTGGCGCTCACTCATCGCGCGAGTCGCCAGCGATGATCTCATCTTGTATTAACCTGTCTAGCCACTAAATCAAAGTCAAAGAAGCCAGTGACACATTTTTGCCTGCTTGTCCGAAAAAAACAACAAGATAAAAACGAGCCCCAATATATACTATATATATATATATATATATATATACATATATATATATATATATATATATATATATATATATATATATTATATAAATATATATATTCATACCCAGGCATAGCTGCGCTGATCGCATCTTTATTAAAAATAAATGCTGATTGCTTGAAAAATGTGTTTAATTTTTGAAGGCAAACATTTTGTGCATTACCCGCTTTAGGTTGGCCTATGTATGCGTGTGTGTGTGTGTGTATCTAAGGTTTTTTTCTTCTGTGACACGTACTGTGCACACACCCAATACAAATTCAATTGCTCAACCGGATGCTGACGCGAATTACATTGTTTTTATTTGAACTCATTTAACAGTAGTCGCTGTTGCCGTTGCCGCTGCTGTCGATAAACATTTCGTATTTGCATGTCACGACTTGTCATTTATTTATTAACATTTGTTTTTCTTGACTGATTTCCAAATTGCAGTCGTTGCGCCCTAGTTTCGTGCTTGCTGCCATAAATCTAGCGGACGATCAATGTGCTTAGGCTTAGCAGACACCGGCCACGCCCGCCGGCTGGTGGGCTGATCAATTAATTATGGTTTTTCAATGTCAAAACTGTCGGTTCAAAGGATCTGTGGCATTCGCCACATAAATCTTTGTGTGGCGGGCGCCTGGCAGCTGCGTGGTCCATCCTTTAGCTCGCTGCTTGTGCAGTTTGTCTAATTGCGGGTTGACTGCCGCCAACTGAAGGTCACTGACAGCGCCGCAGACAGCAGTTTGCGCCTGCCTGACAATGCGCCGCCGGCCTGTCTCAACTGGCTGCGGGCTGTAACTCATTGCTTCAGCGGAATTATCGACTCACTGTCTGCTCGGGTACCCGCATGCCTCACGCCTTTTGATATAGGCAACTGCAACAAGTTGCAACTGGCAAGTTGCCAACCAGTTCATATGAAAATGCATAATCAATCAAATAAAACGACAACAAAACAGAGAGGGTGAGAGAGTGGGAGTGGCATCGAAACAGATAGAGATTGTGTATGAGACAGGAATAACTTTGCGACTGCGCAACGAATAATAAATGCACTTAGCTTAGATAAAATGGGGTATCACAGAAAGGGAGAGAGGGTGAGAGAGAGATAGAGACAGAGAGAGAGCGAAATATATCTTAAAATGAGCTTAAGCTCAAAAGCAAATGTCAGAATATCAGAAGCGTAAGACAATGATCATAGAACTTTGCTATTCCTTGCCTTTACCAATCCCATCTTTTACTTAATACATAATTATTTAAAATTTATTAAGTTTGAAATTCATTTTAAAAATTATAACATAAACTCCGCCCATAAGTTTCAATCAGATCAATTTCTATTAACATTTTATTCTAACAATAAATTATTAACGGTCTTTCGGTCTCATCATTCATTGATGCTGATAACCAAAAACACAGCAAAATTCCAGACAGATCGCACAGCGATAATCCAATATCAGCTAAAAACATTCGACAAAGCTACAAAGGCTAAGCTTGAAGTTTTAGCTCATAAATCTTTTTGAGACTCCGCGCTTTGACTGCGTGACTTAGCTATTATGCCCGAAAAAATTGAAAAGGGTAGAAAAAGGGTAAGAAAAATAAAATTGCTCATGTGCATTCCAACGCCCATTGGCGTATCGTTTGCGCATCTTCATCTCAGAGACGACATTTCGTACAGCTTAAATGTCGGAGGGCGGGTAAGAGGAGCCATCCACTGACCGGTGACTGCTTAAGAGTAGCTACTTTATGGCATTACATTGCAGTCGACAGTCGAGTGTTGTTAACAATTCGTGTAAAGTTGCCGCTCATTAAAAACTCATAAATCAGTGCAACAACAACAACAACAGCAACAGCAACAGCAGCAATAATAATTGCCGTTGCGAGGGCAGTGTCAAAATAAGGAACCCAGCTAAAGCCAACGGAAATGGCCACCTGGCTAGCAACTGTTGCCGTTTGCTGTTGCTGCTGCTGCTGCTGTTGTTGTTGTTGACGGCATTGGCATCGTCAGTGGCACACCGGTACACCGGTGTCGATGGCGGGCCGGTACCCGCTATGCGCAATGCAGTTTCCGCATTGGCAATATTGACATCTGCTTGGGTTTTTGATTAATGATAAATGCTGTGAGCATCCGCCGCTATGACACTTAGCTGAGAACTCTCTCAGAGCGGAGCCATTAGTCCGGTATGGCTGCATTGGTATGGGTACGGGTGCGGGTAGGAGTTCGGCTAGTGCAATCAATTGGTCCCTGCTTG